TGGCAAATGGACAACTTATCGAGCGATGGCTCAGGAAACCATTGACGCAGCTATAAAAGGTATGTTAAGAAAACCAATAATTATCAAAAATTCATATATACTTATAAGTAACTTTATAAGTAACTTCTTTTCACATTCTATATATTCTTGCTCTTGTATTATTTTTACTTATAAAAATAACTCGTTTGTTTAAAGCTTGTGACTTACAACCAGAAAGACCTTGCCAGACCGACGGCTTTCTTCTAGAAGGTGCTCAGGGCTGGAGCCCGACAATGTACATTAGATTGGTGCAGGATTTCGGATTAGAATGCGAAGTTGCACAACATTTATCCAAGAGCTATGGAGATCGTGCATTTGCCGTAGCTAAAATGGCTTCTCTTACAGGAAAACGATGGCCGATTATTGGAAAAAAAATTCATCCGGAATTTCCGTACATTGACGCTGAAGTAATTATCTCTTCAAGAATCGTTAAAACTTCAATCGGTCAATATCAACCATATTTTACACATTAACTTACGATCTTTAAAGTAAAACATGAATGTATATTTCAGATACGTTATGGTGTGCGAGAATACGCTAGAACTGCGATCGATATGATCGCGCGACGATTGCGACTCGCTTTCCTTAATGTTCAGGCGGCTCAAGAAGCATTACCAGTCATTATAGATATCATGGCCGAGGAATTGCATTGGTCGGCGGAGGAGAAAAAAAAGCAATATCGAGAAGCCAGTGAGTTTCTTGCTCAAGAGATGGGTCAGATGGTGAACCGTGCTTCCCGTGACAAAATTCCTATCAATCTCACTAAAGAAGAAATTCAACTCTACATTAAACGCTTCGGTATTATAGACAAGGACAAGAAGGGATACGTGTCTATCAATGACATTAGGCGAGGATTAAAGGTTTGCTTAGGAATTTCGATTTTATCTTTCCATGACACTTTTTATCGTTTTTATTTTCTGATTGTTGTCTATATCTATTAATCGCCAATATGCAGGTATTAGATATAAAAATGAACCAGGACGAGATGCACAGTTTATTGAATGAAATTGATCTCACTTACAATGGCCAAATGGAATTACAAGACTATTTACAGGTAAATCATCAAACATATACTTAACATAGATTCTTTTTCTTCACAGCTCTTTGGAGATAAAGAAGTACCGGGTGAAGAACTTCATGAAATTCTACGCGAAATCGACACCAATATGAACGGTCAAGTTGAATTGGATGAATATCTTCAGGTCTGTGACATTGCGCATTATGCACACAGTCACAGTCGGATTTCTTTTCTTATGCTTTCTCTTCTTTTATTCTTTGTTATCCATTACAGTGAAACATTTAAAAATAATATTTTTGCTTCTTTAACACAATTATGTGTAACATTAATTTCCGATAATAATCGTTTTAATTCCCGATTTAATTTCCGATAAGTCTATTGATTAATTGACTAATTAATTCTATTGAATAATTAACGATTTATTGCATTCTGTTTTACATTTACATCGCATGAGTCATTATGACAAAAATTATCTTATTGTTTTTTTGAATATTTCTTTAACATATCAGTTTGCACCATATTATCTCTAACTATATTTTTATATAAATGTGTATCATTTTTATATATAGATGATGTCAGCTATAAAATCTGGTCATGTGGCATATTCACGTTTCGCGCGGATGGCTGAAATGGAGGAAGCGCAGCACGAAAAGGAAATGCTTAAAAAACAAATAAGCGTCGAGAGATCAGGTGGAGGACTGTAAAGAGATTCATCCTTATGCTATGAAACTTTGGAATATTTTAATTTCATATTTGATTTGACAAAGAAGGATGATCATTTTGGTCATCCTTTCTCCTAGCGTTACATGATAAAATATATATCGCTAAAAAGGTGTGACCTAGTAGAATATGTATATTAAAGTCCGAACTCAATATTTTTGGTACAAGTTCCACTTCCGACCCTCATTTCCGGAAGTGCCCATATATATCCATACACGTTCATAGGTGCATGGAAAGTGTGTGTGTGCGTGTGCGTGCGTGCTGTATATTTGCATCTTCTGAATACGATGCAATTTAGTTGATGTTCGGCCGAAAAGGAAGTTTTAGTTGAATCAATAATTCCCCAATTGTTCGTCGTCACCACTAGTAGATGACTTCGCGAGCAAAGTGATTAATGTTTATGGAAATGTCAATGACTCGATTCTTAGAGATATAAATGCACCAATGATTGCATCATATTCAGGAGATGCAAATATGTCAGTATATATGTTTTCCATGCACATATGGGCATATATACACATATAGGCACTTTTGATAATGAACTTTGGAGAGCTGGAAATGGTACTTCTATCAAAAATGTTGCGTTCGGACTTTGATATTCATACTTTACTAGATCACATCTTTCTAACGATATAAGTTTTATTTACCGTGTAACGCCGGGGATCAAACTCTAGTGGAAAATGAACATCCTCCTTTAATCTTTCATATTTATTAAAGGATATCAATTCATTCGATTAAAAATGACAAAAGAATCAAACATATACGAAATGAAATTATCGCGAATAATATCTAACAAAATATATTAATTTACAAACGTTTCATATCGAATAATTTATATCGTTTTGCACATACATTAGATTTTTATCGATAACTGAAGTTTTACAATTGCAAGCAAAAAATTTTGAGTTTGTCCTCAAAATTCTTTCTTTTCATAGTTTGACACTGTATTATTTGTATGTAACAGCAATATTATTATGTACAAAATGAAGTGACTGCATTCTTCCTGTTTGTATACAAAGTGTATAAAAAGTACCAGGACGACGAAATATCTCGAAAACTAAGCATTTTAGGAAAAAGTATTTTAGATAAAAGTTATAAGGTTTCAGAAGATCTATGTATTGATATCAGTTTAACCTTGAGTGTTGTCGTTAGTCAAAGTTACATCGAGTTTTTTAAATGGAATTCTAGTTTTTATTGCATATTCTTATAGCTTACCTCGAGAGCTTTTCAAAATATAATTAAGTATTTTTTCATTAATTACTTTCTAAATTATGAAGCTTGAATTTGATATGCAATTTGACATAAGATTTGATATAAAATATTTCGTAATTCATTTTTTGGCAACTTTAATATTTTGGCAATTTTAATATTTTTATGCACAGAATAATGAGATGAATCAATTGGTGTAAAAAAATACATAGCTATTTTTCAAAAAAGATACATCATTATATATTGCAAATTTCCATTTTTTTTAAACAGCAATGCATTTTTTATGCATTTTCTTTACACAAATTGATTCATCTCATTATTTTGTGTATATAAATATTAAGATATAATTGCTAAAAAATGAATAGTTTACTAGATATCTTATATTTTATGTCAAATTGCAATCAAATTCAAACCTCATAACTCAGAATGTACTTAATGAGAAAATACTTTATCATAATATTTTGAAAGAAACTCTCGAGGTAATTTATAAGAATATGTAATAAAAAATAGAGAGTTCCATTTAAAAAAATCAATGTGACCTTGATCTGACCTTGGCAATGCCACCCAAGATCAAACTGATAAGATCAGAAAAAATATATATATATATATATATATATATATATATATATATATACTTAACCTTAACCTAACTTAACTT